TGCCTCCCTCCCCTGGGTCACTGGAGAGGAAGCAGCTGGGTCAAGGCCACCTCCCCCAACCCCAAAATAGCTCCTGTGGCTGTGGCACACGCTTCCCTTTCCAGGCTGCAGAGAGCATTCAGCCTCTGCTGTCATATACAGGGGATGCCAGAGGTTTCTGGGCCCAGTMAGAAGCTGCCTGCAAGGAAAAGCCCCAGTGAAAACAGCCAAAAGAACAGCCTTACCCAGACTCGTCCTATGACTCTTGGAAAGGAATAGCCAGGCAGTTTGAGCACAGTTTCCCACCCCAAGTTGTCAGGGGTAAGGCAGAAAGGTTACCGTAAGATATCCTCCTTTCCCAGGCTGTCAAGAGAAGGGACAGCGCTCCCCCAGTAGCGAGCAATGGCTGCTGCCTCTCTGGCCATCAGATGAGTAGACTTTGACTTTCTGTTGGAAATAAAAGGGCTTTTTTTGAGTGGGGGYAGGGACCCTGTCTGGCTAATGCATTCTCAGCTTTTGCAGCTTTGGGCACAGGAGCATTGAYCTGCCCTGACCAGAGAGCCACAAATCCGCTTCCCAATGCTCACCATAGGTTTTGACACTGCTCCCACAGCAAGCTCAGCTTTGCATTTATGGAGTTAACCATTTTTTCTGGAACTGACTTACCCACTTGCCCTTTGTCTGTTCGTCTGATCCCAGTCTTTGTTAGGGTCTAAATTGCTGATGTTCTTTGGTTTCTGACCAGTGATTTCATCACGTTCAATCTTGACAAAATCTAGAGCAAAGAAAAAGCACAGCTCTACAGTCTGTCTKCCCAAGTTTTCTGTGTTCCTGTATGCATTAAGGCATCTCTCTTTGTCCATCAGAGTGATGGACAGTTTTAAACTTTTGTTACTGTTATGTTTTCAACTGCCCATTAATACACTTCAGCTGATAGAGGAAGAAACGTGTATCTTGAAGTACAAAAGTCATGACCTACCACATAGCCACATGCAAGTCATTTTACCATTGAGAATTAAAGTAAATGCCATGAGACCAAATACTCTGAATGAGAACAACAGATAGCAAGGTGAAAACAGCAAAAATTGTGATCTTCTAGCTAATGAGCTGCTCCTTAAGAGGCTCACATGCTCTTTGCAGCTGCTCCCCAGCATGCCTGGAGCAGGGAGAGCTTGTCGTGGAGCTACTACATAAAATCCCCATTCAGTAAGACCAGTGTTGCTGACAGACAGGGGGCTCTCTCAGTCTGCCGAATTTACTTGAATGATGAAAAACCCTAAGCAATCCAATTCTTCTGACTTTCTGAAAGAGTACAGGTATGCTCCTGAGAGCTAACCATACTCACACATCCTTGCAGTCAGCATCAAAAGCACTTGCCTGTCTGTGACTACAGGCACTGCAGAGGTAATTTTCAATTCCCTGACAATTATCAGAAAACTTTTGAGGTGAGCATTCTCTAGGGTGAGCATTGTGGAGATGATAACATTCCTTACCGTACAGTTTCTCTCTCTGTTTTCCTTGTGACGTTTGTAACTTGATTTCACCTTGGAAGACCCCTGTTTTCTCTCCATGGTGTGTCAACACAGTATGGATAGGGGCTAAGGATTCTGTTGCTTCTATCCGCAAGGCAATGCAGCCTTCCCCTAAATGACAACAAGGAGACAATGACGCTGGGACTGAGAAACTAAGCACTGAAATGTTTTGTGTCATATACTGCCATTGTGCTGACAGGTCTGTGATGACTGCAGAGAATCTGCTTTGGATCACAGTAAGGAGTGTAATATGTCCTGAGAAATTAGGGACATTTATTTCACTTCACATATGTGTGAAGGATTTGGGCATTGAAGATACCTATGGCTGACTTCAGGGTTCTGAGCTTCCACTCCTGATAAGGAAAACATGAGCCTATGGCTGCTATTTCAGTTAATGGGATTTAGGCAAAGAGCCTTCTGTGGACAAGGACTGCAGTCTCTGGCTGGTAAGAATCTGGGAGCCAGCAGCACTGCCAAATATACTCTTCTGTAGCCACGAGAAATGCCTCAAGTATGTGCAAGTGAAACAGGATTTGTATGTTCTGAATAAATGCATTTAAACATGTTGATTCCTGATTTAGTTCCTGTGAAGGACTTTCTTTTTAAGCCACTGCTCTTTCAGAGCTGGTAAAGCTCATACAGGTTGTTACTTCAACTTCATGTTCTGATAATCATAATTATTTCACAAAATATTTACCACATTATTTCACAAAATATTTCCAGGATATTTTTGTGTATGTTGAGTTCTAAATCATAGATGTTCAGCCTATAGGAGTTACTTATATTCTCTCCCACTCTTTCAGTGATTTGGAGGAATCTAAGTAGACTTTGACTCATTGAGAACTTTAGAGCTAAGCACTTACCATAGGATTCATCRCTGTCTGATGACTTAATGCTGATCAGGATATGTTGATCCAGTAGGTATTCTGGGTCTGAAATGATTGGAGTCAGCTGTGAAGACAAGTTAGGGTGGGTCAATACAATAGATGGTTGACAGGAGCATACTTCTCCCTGGGACTCGGTCCCTAGTGAGGAAAACTCTGCTGAATAAACTCTTGAAAGCATCGTGTCACCTCCAGGATCAGCCTCTGATAATGTCTGGAGATTTGTGGTAGGAGTCTGCACATTCTGAGTCCCAGCACAGCAAACAGAATGCTGCAAACCTGACACTCACACGATGAGCAGCAGTTTACTCCTGTGGTCCAGGACTGAGAATTGCCTGAGGAGGAAGGGATCTGGAGTCTGATTACAGTCTGTTTCCAAAAATTGATCTGGTTGTTGTTGCAATCACATACTGTAGAGCCTTTCCCCAGTCTCTCAATGTAAGGCACTCTTTCCAAAGTCAGCACTTGTTYTGGGCAATTTAGAAGGGTATTGATGTGCACATTTCCCCAAATCTAGGAGCTCCTGTAGTTCTTCCAACTCCCACCATGCCAAGAAACGAGGAACAGCTCTGATCTCAATGACAGGACTTGTGCCTTATACTGACATACAGAACACTACTGATCAGTTTTTCTAAAATAAGTCARGAGAAAGCTTTGTCTGACCAGGCAAAGAAACTCCGAGGCAGAGTTACTCTTTAAGATATTTTATTTTCCATTTAAAACTAAAAAAATGGACCTACTTAAACCAGCACTATGTTCACTAAAATCGTGAGAAAACAGTCGTGGTCCTCAATGGCATCATCACGCCAGCAAAATTCTTAATAGAAATGTAGTACACTGGYGTGAAATTCCTTCCCTGCTTACAACATACTCTCTTTAGCCTAAGCCCATCCTGCATTCTTACAGTCCCTTTGAGCATAAACAAGACCACAACAATGTTCCTGAAAATAATATATATGTAAATAAATRACCTAACACTGCTTATGGAAGTGGAAGCTTCTCTTCCATATGAATATGGAGGCATAGTCCCACTTTACCTTTGGAAGTGCCTCGACAAACTTTACCACAAGCTCCCCTTCGTTCCCATCCTCATTTTCTCCTTCCTGGCTCTTTACAAAGCCTGCAAAGGGACAAAAAATGAGTTTACCAGGAGAGAGACAGAAAGAACTGCACTACAAATCCATTTCACTCTGTCTCCAAAAAAMCCACATTTATATTCCTGCTTGGATACAAATTTTAAAAAGTATTAAGAATCTTAAAGGCTGAGCTTTGGATGAATGTTTACACAGTAAATTTGCAAGTAATTTTGCTGGAGCATTGTTAAATTGTTCTATTTTACAGGTAAACTTGGCAATAAGGAGCTCAGTGCATACATGGACCAGAGGATAAGAACATGACAGCTCTTCCTACGCCACTCAAGATAGCACTCTTTTGAAATTCTAATTTAAGATTTGTAATACACTGTTTCCATAGAAATTTATGCAAATTTTGATACAGCCAAAAAATAATCTTTTATGGAACTGTCTTTGGCACAGCGCTCTGACATGCAATAATGTGGTGAAGCATCCACCAAAGGCTTGCTGTCCCACTTACAGGAGCAATCTTGTGATGGGGAATTGCTTAAAAAAAACCCACAGCAAGGGCACGTAGGCTTGTGTTACATAAACAGCTGAGACAGCCCCACAGCATGGGGGCAGGCAGTGAAATCTGCAGTGCTGGGGGTACACAGTCCCACTTACAGAGTCACATCATTAGCATTCCTTTCACTTTTAGTTGATCCTCTGAGTTGTTTCCTAAACCAGGTTAATTCAATTATTTTAAATTATTTTTGTTAGCATAATGCAGATGCTTTATTTTGAAAACACCTGATCATTTGTAGCAGGCACAATTAATAAAAATGTAATCAATCATGTCTTTGCTATGTAGGTATTTTCTGTGAGATAAGCAAGAACAGTATGTTTCCCATCAAGAAAGAAATTGTCGGATTGACAAACGAGGTGGAAAAAAAATGTTGGAAAGCTACACGTCTAAGCATAGATTACAGTAGATTACAGCTACTTTGACTTTTGGATTGTATTGCACACAGTACAGGATGACTTGTAAACTACAGCAAATCTTTAGGACACCCATTTTATGCATTGGAACAAGTGATCCACACAGCTATTTTTTTAGATCAAAGCCAGAAGAAGGGGAACTAATCCAAACATGCAGAAAACTTTGACAGAAAGAATAAAGATGGGCAAACCCATACTTTCTAAGCAGCTAGAGTGAAACTCAATGTAGAACTTGGTCTGGGACTTGGTCTTCAAAGTAGCGTAGCAGTGCAGGAACTCTATCTCCCCTTGGGAATCTGTGTATTTGGAGTCTAGGAAAGAGGAAGGGAAAATAATGGTGCTTTCAGCAGGAGATACAGAGAGGGCATTTTTGAGTGGACTATGAAAGAGTCAGATTTTTCTCTCAGCATGTACAAAGCCTTGCATTCTGTATCCAAGGTGCACCCAACCCAACTGACCGTTCTTGGAAACAAACTGTGAGGTGACTCCCACTTCAAAAGTGGCAAACACAGGACTGTGGTCACTTGTCATGATGTCAGTGGTACAACCTGCCAGCGAGAAAGGGAGTATGGTTACTGCCCTGYTCCAGGGAGATCACTGCCATAGAAACATTATTCAGCATTTTTCCAGGAAATACAACAGTTACTCTGGTAACTGTCTCTAGGCAAAAGTGTTTCTCCACATAAACTCATGTCAGTACACAGGAATTCAATTCTTCTGTCAGAATACAGAAAGATCTGGTTAAGTGACACAATTTTACTGTATTGTTTTGCAGGTGACTGCCAGTGTTAGATTCCTCCAGWACAAAAAGCCATTACAGGCTTCCTGGTTACCTCTGCAACATGCACAGCTAATTAGAGCTCTAATATGGCAGGAAATTACACAAGACTACACTGCTGCTACTTCAGTGCTACAAAGCAACTCCTGGCCCAAGGTTAACATGGAGTGAGTGATGCCAGATTGGACCTAAGCACACACTGAGTTCCAGCAAACTCAGTCGTTCCAGAAGTGCCTATTCAACCCCACACCTCAGCATCATGGGCTCTCTGATCAGATCAGCCTGCCTTATCCCTGAGAGACTTTCATAGCCCTGCTCCCAATCCATGCACAGGAAACCATGAACAGCATACTCAGAAGCTCAGTCCTACATATAGTCAGTGACATTTCAGGAACTGGTATTTGAGTCTTTTTTTAAACAGGTTTTGTGGGCTTTCTCTCTTCCCTGCAATGCACTTTTCTGATGCTTCTCAGCAGGAAAGGGAACAGGCTCTTGGTACCACAGAGTTCTTCTGGAATATGATTTCATACAACAGATGYGTTTGCAGCTTCAGTCTCTGCAGACTGGACTTAGCACACAGGGTCTGTGCTAAGCTCTGCTGAGCTCACTGTCAGGAGTTCCTGGTGGTAACTGCACAGAAGAAGTGGTGATTGCTGCCAGGAAATAACTGGTGTAAAGTGATACTACATGGCCTAAAGTTGGACAGCTGCAGCTGTCCAGATGGTGTTCTGCATATAAAAGAATAGCAGAATGAATTCCCAACCTTGTAAGGTTACAGGCAGAGAGATTTTGGCTTCCCTCTGYCTGGTTTAACATCAGGTCCCTCTGTGCTGAGTGCCTGGCAGTGCGGGGAGGTCCTACAGACTCTGTTCTGATCATTTCCTCTTCAGACTGGTTGCCTTGCTATCAACAATCTGTTCTCTACTCACCATAGGACTGACACACAACATGCACCATGGGGTAGGATTTCCAGAGAACTCGATCACACCAGGATGGCAAATTGTACTTCATCTGCAAACCAAAGGAGAAGTAATGTCAAGAAGAATGGAAAGGACCAGGTCACAAAAGAACAGGAAATTCATTTGCCCAAGCACCATATATTTGTGTCAAGTCTTTTGGTTTGTATTGACTCCTTTCAAAACACTACAAGGACAGAAAATGCTGAGATTGGTTTAGGTTGTTTTTTTTTTTTTTTTTTTTTTT